CAATTTAGTCAGGAATGTCCACAGCATCCCTTCATGGATCACTGCCTTGTTGTGGCGAAGGGGCTTGGGTAGCTCAATGAAGCTTTGAACTATGCTGTGCAGGGCCACCCAAGATGGACAGGTTATAGCATGTGGTCATTAAAAGTCAAGGTTCCGGCCACTGTGGTGCAATTAAAATGAAAACACATTAAAACAAACAAACAGAACGTCAGCGGCACTGCTGCAAATAACTTGACTTTTCAAAAAACCATACCACATGGATATCCCTGCATATATTTCATGCTTTTGGGGTTTATTCTTGCAAGATACCTGCTGGAGATTTTGAAGGGACCCTCACGTAATTTGATTGATGAAATCAGCTTGAAAGTACTTGCCAGTTTATTGCAGACTAATCATTTAAACAAATGCATTACAATTCACACATTTCAAATACATTTGTGAGAATGTTTTACAGTGCATATCTGAAAATAAAAAACCCTCTTAGGTAAGCAACCAGTCAAGATTGCATGCCTGAATCAGGGCTTTACATGGATTTAAAATCTCTGAGGATGAAGGGGAAATGAAATAAAATTCTATTCTGTGAAATCAGTGTGGGAATGCTTAGCTTAGCTTTCTTTTTTGATCATAAGTCAAATGTATAGATATTGCTGGAATTCCCCAAGTAATATTTACAGATCCTTCTTGCTAAGAGAACATCTGCCACTGATGCTTCTTTTCTCTACTCCAGCCATAAGTCTCCTGCTTGTGACACTTGACTATCACAAATAGACATGTCAAAAAAAATTAAGAGGTCGATCCCCCTCCTCCCACACAAACAAAACAGTACAGAAAAGCTGCTTTATGATTGGCAGTTCATGACAGAAGCAAAAAGGAGCTAACTGATGTGCATTGAAGAGAAAAGGGTTTAAATAATATATCTCTTCAAACTTTGTACGGGGTGTCAGATATGCTGTTTTTATAAATGCTTTCTGGTTCTACTTTCTTCATCTAATAAAACATTAAAGTCTTCATGCTACATTATGCAAAGAATGTCATATCTGATAGAGATTTCAGAAGAGTCAATTTAGATGTCAAAATTCATGGAAACACTGTTTGCATTTAAAATCATCCAGCTCTGTGAATTTCTGTCAAACTCACTATTTAAAGAAATATCCAACAGTGCTTTAAGGGGAAAAAATCATACAAGGATTTGCCAGCAAATAAAAGTATAAAATGCAAAATTCCAAAATAGCCACCAAGATTTACTGTCCAGATCAAACATGACTCTATATAATATGAGATAACTATAGTATTACATAAAAGAATTAAAAAATAAACATTAAACTCAAGACAGCTACCAAAGTTTTGTGATTCAGCAGCTAATAACACAATTTGCCTAATATGAAAATTTGAAAATGCATTTACCAGAATGCTGCAAACTATTTTCATATTTTCCAGTGACATACAGAATGGAC